CACACACACACACACACACACACACACACACACACACACCCCGATCCTCTCTCAAGACCCCAGCATAGTCCATGTGGGAAAGCCCTGGGCCCACCCTTGCAGGGAAGCCCTGTCTAGACCCTTCCTGTTTCTAACAGGACGGGTAGTGGGCTCCGGGGTCCTTCTCAGGCTGGTGTGTGTGGGCTCCGAGCCTCCATTTCTTCATCTGGGAGACGGAGTGATGGGGGGGTGGGGAGCCGACGCCTGGAGCCACATCACGAGGTCTGCCTCGGTTGCTTGTTTGGCGTGGCCATCGTGGACCCCTGAGGGTGGGGACCCCTGGTCTCCAGGAACTTTGCAGTCAGAGTCAGAAGCAGGGGTGTGGAGGGGCCCAGGGTGGGGCTTTGGGGAGGGCCTGGGTGCTCTGGTCATTGCTCCCCCTTCTGCCCCAGCCACAGTGGCTCCTGCCCAAGTACCCCAGACTAGGGTTTCGGCTGCAGAAAGGGGGTGATGCCTCAGAAGCCCTTCCTGAGCTGCGGCTTCAATTTGTCACAGTCTCAGGTGCTTGGGGGGGGGGGACATCTATTCTTGGCCCTAGGGCAAGAACCAAAGGTGGGATGGTCAGGGGGGTGTTGCCCCCCCACCCCCCACTCCTTCTTATCAGCGTGGCTCCCCTCATCCTAAAAATACCAGGAGGAGTAGTCATCTGGTCTCAGCTCAGGTTTTGGGGGGGGTGGCTGTCACCTCCCCCCTCCCCTCCCCCTGCAGCCTGGAACCTCGCATCTGCAGCTGGGTTTCCAAGCTCTTGGTGGCCGGCTTCCACCCACTCCCCGCCCCCCGAAAAATAATCCAGTCCCGTCCCTGGCTGGCCCAGTCACCAGGCCTCGAGGTTCCCTTAGCGGACACCTCTGTTTAGACCTAACCGACCTCCCTGGAGGACAGCGGGGCTCCCGCGGGGCTCTGGGAGGGGTGCAGTGGCTGCGGCCGGGGGCCACGGATGCCGAGTGTGTGACTGAGCAGAGCACAGTGGGTGCGGCCGCGTGGACCGCTCGCTCTGGAAGCACACCGGTGGGCATGTGTGTCCGCGTATGCGCGCGTCTGTCAGCGTGGCCGTGGGCAGGCTGGCGGCCCAGAAGGAGAGTGGGCGCTGCTTCCTCGGCCGCTGGGAGGGCTCTGCCCGAAGCTCCGAAGCTCCGTCCCGCCCTGGATCCCAGCCGGGGTCTCCTCTTGGGGGAGGGGCTGCTCCGCTTCCCAGGCCGCCCCACCCCTGCCCCCTGGGACGAGTGGGATCCCAAGATGAGTCAGAAGCCACTGGAGGGCGCCCGCCCCGCTGGGGCCCACGCTGACTGTACTTTTCTTCTCTGCAGATTTTCCGCCGAGCCGACAAAAACGGTGAGTTTCCCTCCCAGGCTGTCCCCTGAATGAGGCCCGGCTCCTTCTGTTCTGATGCTTCAGGGGCAGGGGCCCAGGGTAGGGGCGTGGACAGCCTTGCACCTAAAGGTTAAAAGTACAGGATGTCCTGAAGTCAGAAGGCCGAATCCTGGCTCTGCCCCGTGCCTCAGTTCCTGTCTATACCGTGGAATTCCCATAGTTCCTACTTAGTAGGGATGCCACAGGGATTCAGTGAGCTGGTGTCCGTGGTGCCCAGATGTCTTGCATATTGTAGGTGCTTGGTGAACGTTAGCCCTCATGCAGCTGGGCTGGACCAGAGCAGCCCAGGTAGGGGGCGCCCAGCGACCACCCTTTAAGGAAGCCCCCAGCCTCACTCTAGGCCCTTCCCAGGCGCTGGCGCGAGTCTTCCTCGCCGCGAACTCATGCACTCGGTGCTGTTTGCTCCTGTTCTGACAATTCCCTGGTGGCCCAGAGAGGTTAAGTGACTTGCTCAGGGTCGCCCAGCTGCAGGAAGATAGTCGAGCTTGTGCTGCAGATGCCCGGACTTTCCCCCACGTCAGGGGTCCTCCCCAACGATGTGAGCTGCACGTTGTCGGGGCCAGTGGGTTCCTGGCACTGCACTGCTCCTGACTTCTTGGAAAGGCTTCCCGCTGTACAAGGGAGGTGGGGGCCTGAGAAGGGCCAGGTTTCCCAAGGGCCCCCCTGAGCCTCACTTGCAGCAAAGAGTAGCACAACTTCATATGAACATTGCTGTCCTTATACCCGGGACCAGAGCAACGCTCCGTGGCCTTTAGCCAAGACATAGTCCCTCTGCAGGCCTCAGCTTCCCCATCTCTAAAGTGGGCTGATCACACTTAACATGCCTGTGCCCTCGGCTGTTGGGAAAATGCAGGGAGGGGATGTGGGAAGGGTGGGGAACAGGAGGCCCTCACGCCCCAGCACCTGTCCTGCGTGGGCTGGAGTTACAGGTGGCAGCTCTAACCTGGGTCCCCGCACCCCCTCGGTGACCATGGGGGTTACTGCTGACCCATCCCCCCCATGGTGTTGGGGGATGGAGTGTGAGGCCTTGGGGGATGGGGGTGCACAGGCCTGGACTGGAAGTCAGGGCCCAGGGGTCTCCATGCCCTGCCCCCTTCCTTGGGCTTGACGGTGGCCCCTCCCAGGCCTCTTGGGACACAGGACTCTCAGCAGCAGCTCCATTTGGAGCGGGGAGGAGGGAGAGGGATGTGGGGGAACTTCAGTGACCTCGAGAAGTGCTTGTGGCATCTGGGCCCAAACAGCCTCCGAGGTTGGAGCAGGGGGTTGATGGGCTCGGTCCCTGATGCAGGCGTCTTCAGGGTGCCGTGGCCTGGGGCCGCGTGGTCATCTGTGCACATCCTGAGCTCCCGGCCGGTAGGAGTGCAGGCTTGTCCGCGTCATGGGCCCGAACGCCCGGCACGCAGTAGGGTCCTCGCAGGTGTCTGTGGGGTCTGTTCCTTGCTGAGTGCGGCTGTGCATGGCCGTGGGGCGCAGCGGGAGTCTGGCTGCGGGTCTCCCCGCGGCGGCTGCGGGTCTGCGTGGCTGTGCTCTGCCTCGCTGGACACACCGAGTGTGCGTGGACCCGCCTGGTGTGGGGGGGCGGTGCGCTGGCCTCCCTTCAGGGACGGATGGGGTCTCCTCCTAGTCACTTCTTGCCCTGTCAGAGACCGTGTTTCTGCCCCCTGAGCACAGCTGTGGGGTCCCTCGACTTTGCTCTGCGGCCCCCACAGAGGCCGAGCCCATCCTCCTTCTGGGGCCTCAGGTCTTCCCGGCCACCGCCGCTGAGTGGCCCTGGGGGGGTGTCACCAGGCTAAGGTGTGTGTGATGTCGGTCCCAGAGGAGCTTCGGATCCTGTGAGGAGGTGGAGTCTCTTCTCCGTCACAGTCCTGGCTCTGCCACTTGCCAGCCCTGTGACCTCAGGCCAGTCAGCAAATGCTCGGGGCCTCTGTTTCCCCATCCGCAAGTGGGCATGATGGCACCAGGACCCCCTCAGGCCCTGGTGGGGCTGTTGCAGAGTCCGGGTGCCCAGGCCATGGGGAACCATGAGCCCGACGCCACCTGTGGGCGTGGACGCCGTGGTTGCCAACAGATGTTTGGGTCCTACCTGCGCTCCCCGGGGAGTTTACCATCCGGGGTCTGCCGGCGGCCACCGAGCACCCACTCATCGACCTCACCGGGGCTTCACTGTGCTCCTGCTGGGATAAGAAGCATCACCCCCTTTTTAGCGATGACCGAAGCACGGCCCGGAGCACGAGGGTGCGGGGCTGCAGGTCCTCGACTGGGGAGCAGTGTAGACAGCTCTGATGGAGAACACGCCTGGGGGAGGGGCTGGGAGCGAGTGTGCTCGCAGGTGCAGCTGGAGCTGCCGACGGCGCACACGGAGGTCGCACACAGGTGGGTGCTGGTCCTGTCCCCGGCATCCGCAGGAGCGATGCCCGGGGGTGCAAGATGGGGTATGGTCTCCTGGCGTAAGCCTCCGGGATCCCAGGACCAGGCGCTCGGGCTGGCCTGTGCTGGCGACTCCCGGGGCAGAGGCGTCTTCATTGACGTAGACCCGTCGTGGCTCCTGAGGGGAGGCCAAGGGTCAGGGGTCTGCCCGCAGCCAGGGCACGAAGCCTGGAAGGGTGGGCAGGTGGCGTCCAGCGGAGGGGTGAGTGCCAGAGTGCATTTCTCTCCAGGGACATGGACTCAGGCAGAGTCCTGGCATTTGAAAGGTCACTGTGACAGAGGCTGAGTTCATGCTCATTAGCGAAGACACCTGCAAACGGCCCGCTCGGTGTCCTTGCTGGGAGTGGGGGTGCCAGGCCCGCTCCTCGGATGGTACAGAGGCCTGGGTAGGAGCTGTTACCTCCCTCATTAGCTGATCGGGGTTCATTAGGGCCATGGTAGGACATTTAAGGTAAATGTCAGCCCAGCAGACTGTGCTCGGGAGGCCTGGCGGGCGGCTCTGTGCCTGCTCTCCTGAGTGCAGACTGGGTGGAGGAACCTGGACAGGCAGGAGGAGATGGAGGCGGAGAGATGCCCTCATCACCCCCACCGCTGTGCCCGTGGCAGCCATGACTAATCAATCACCGCACACTTCCCCTGAGCGCAGACCTCAGCCCTTCCACCCGGCCCTGTGGCCAGGGTCGGGGGTCTCACCAGAAGACTGTACCCTGCGGTTGGGGTGAGAACATGGACTTGGGAGCCAGTTGGCCGAGGTTCTAGCCCCAGCTGTGGATCCCTTAGCGGCTCTGTGTCTCGGTTTACCGCTCTGTAAAATGGGGGTCTTGTGAAGACCGAACGCATAGAATGAGGCCCGTGTGCCGGCCGCGGTTCTTCTGCACGGTGCCTCCTTGTTTTTATCAGCAGTCTTGCCAGAGGAAACTTGGAAAGTCTCCTCTCTTTCAAAGACAGAAAGAGCCACCGTAGAGCTTGCGTAGTTCACAGCTGGTAGAGTGAAGTCCTTTTCACGGTTGTTTTTTTCTGTGAGTGTGTGTAGGGGCGGGGCAGGGCTTGTCTGCTTTGCTGGGGGGTGCGGGGAACTCTTGTTTTTGAAAGTTACAAATTCATTTCCCTCTGTGACATTGAACCTTGAGCCCGGATGTGAGAGGCGCGAGGGGAGGTTGCCCTTAGCCGCCCCCCCCCCCACCTCCCGCACATTCATTTTCTCCCTCTCTCCCAGCCCCTGACACTGTAGGCCTGATGGGCCAGAGGGAAGACAGGTGGAGGGAAGCCATGCAAGGTTCGAGGATCTCCCTCTGCTGAGCTGGTACCTGTGTCCTGCTTGGAGCCCCTGCAGAGTTTGTGGGTGCAGAGAAAGATCATCCCGAGCCTTTAAAATACAAGAATGGGGGCACCTGGGTGGCTCCGTCGGTTAAGCGTCCGACTCTGGGTTTCAGCTCAGGTCTTGATCTCAGGGTCCTGGGATGGAGCCCCGCTCAGTGGGGGGTCTGCTGGAGATTCTCTCCCTCTGCTCAAACCCTGTGTCCTGGTCCCCCTTCTCCGTCCCGGACCAGGAAGGGGCCTCTCTAATCCACACAGAGGTATCACATGGGCTTGTAGGGACTTTGGTTGCAGATTGGCTGGAAGTAACAGCAGGGGGTCTGTGCCGAGGGGCTGGGGGCTTCCCTCTCCCTGACTTCCACGGCCTCCCACAGACGTGGCTCCTTTAAGGGGCAGCAGGAACTGGTCTGAGATCATTGAGGAGGGGGCGGAGATCAGCAGGTGCGCCCAGGTAGAAGGAAGTTGCAGAGGGGGAAGCTTGGGGACTGCGTCTCCCAGAGTCGCTGGTTCTGCCGCGAGCCCTTCCGTCTGTGACCACCTGCCCCCAGCCCATGAGACGTCCCCCCGCAGATACTGGTGCCCAGGGGGGCTGCAGGCGGAGGGAGAAGAGGTGAGACGGAGGGTGGGACCGGTGGGACACAGGGGCTGTGGGGCCCCTCCCATCCCAGGCCCACAGAGGCTGGGCAGTGCCGAGGGGGCCCCTGGCGCCTCCTTCCCGTGCGGGTTGGCGTCTTCACGGTTGGGTCTCTGGCAGGGTGAGAACCAGACGGCTGTGGGCAGCCGTCTCCCATCAGACGGTATGAAAGTTTGGGTCCAAAGTTTGCTGCGTGGATGGGGCAGAGTGGTGAGGAGGTGTTCCCTCCCCTGAGTCAGGACCTGGGTGCTGGGGTTGGAGATGATGCCAGTATTGGGGGGGGGCGGATTATGTGGGCATTTGGAAGCAAGAGAGAATGGTCCTCAGACCTCCTGTCGTCGGCGCAGTGCTCCCGTAAGCCGTACCCACCCCCAGGTGGCTAGGCGAATCGGGAGAGAAGAGCACCTGGCCGGGAGCAGGTGCTGTTCGTTGAACCTGTCAGTAAATGAGCCCGAGCAAATTAGCTACTTCTTGTGTTTGTTGGCTTGGGGATTATCTGTAAATGGGAGCTGATGTGTTGGTTTGGGAACCAGCTGGATGAGTCGGTGATTTTCTGTGGCCTGGAGTTTACTGGTTAATTTGGGCATTCACTGGGCGGGCGGAGATTATCTGGCTAGAGTTTATCTGTTGATTTGGGAACCGTCTGGATCTGGGGATGTCTTATCTCTTAGACACCAGCTGCTCAACCTCCTTCCTCCCTTGCTTGCAGACGATGGGAAGTTGTCCTTGGAGGAGTTCCAGCTCTTCTTCGCAGATGGTGTCCTCAACGAGAAAGAACTAGAGGATCTCTTCCACACGATCGACTCCGACAACACCAAGTGAGCCAGGCCCCCGCTGCTGGGGCTGGGGGGCGCAGTGGCTCTGGGGAGGACCATCTTCCCCTCAGCGAGGTGATCCGTCTCTGTCTCCCACTCCCCCGGAGGGGCAGGAGACCCGAAACTTCCCCACACTCGCTGACCCAAAAGTCCGATCTGTTTGGCCCCCACCGGCCGGGGTGACCTGGGGAGTGGGCACGTTGACATCACATTCGCACGTTGGTCTTTCCTGAGCACACGTGCCTAAGGAGGGATAGACCCTCGATTCTGCATTGTGTCCACAGGGTAATGAAAAGGGAAAGTTGGTAGTGACCTCTGCCTCCTGCCCACTCAACCCAGTTCTGACCCTGGCACCTCGTGCTCATCCCCACTCCCGATGTGAACTCCGTGACCTTGATCCTCACTGGTCCTGTCTTAAACCAAACGGACCAGATACTAATCGTAACTCTGAGTTTAACCCCGCTTCTCTCTATCTAGCTAACCCCCTTCGTAACCCCCCGAACTTGCATCTCAGAAGTAACCAAAAATAGTGGCCTGACCCGTCCCTGAGCCAAGTGCATACTTACCGACCCCACCACCTCGTCTTTCCCTGGGATTCCCCAGGCAGGATGAGGCCCAGCCCCCTTCTCCACCCCGCAACCCATCCCTTTCCTCAGGCCCACGCAGGTATGGGGACCAGAGTTCCGGGGATGCTGCTTGGAGCAGATTTGATGAGCTGGGGTCCCCTGAGACAGGCAGGAGGTGGTCTGGACAAGAAGCTGCCACCAGGTCTGCCTGCAAGGGACCCAGCCCAGTGGTGGCCTGGACCAGAGGTTGGGGCTGAGAGTGTCCTGGGAGGCACAGGCTGGGGACCAGGGTGGGCAGGTGTCCCTGTCTGGGGAAGGCCCCTGGAAACAGCTTCCTGCTGCAGACCCCGTGAAGGGCTCGGTTTCTGCCAACAGATGGAGGTTTCTGAGTGCTTCCTGCCGTCCCCCAGGGAGTTTTCAAAGGGCCAGGGCAGGTGCCTCTTGGTTTATTCATTGTCCTGGTGCCTTTTGTGTTGGGCCAGCTGGGTCGGGATGGGGGAGGAGGAGGCTTTGGTTGAAATCCTCACTTAAGCACAATTAAACAGGTTTCCTTTCTGCAGGACTTGTCAGAACATTTAATATGGGATGTGACTTGGAGGAAGCTCCAAGACAGGGCTTCCAAAGCCTCTGAACCCAGGTTTATTTGGCCATAGGAGCCTTCTCCCAGACACAGCTTACTGACTTGGGGTTCCAGGAGCTCTCCAGCCCAGGGCAGCCCCTCCTCTCAGTGAAGGAACTGGGGCCCAGAAGGGGCCAGCTCATCAGAACCTGCACAGACACTCGGGTCCCTTGGCATCTGCCCCTAGCACGCCCCACCACCGCGTCTCTGCTCTGAGGCTGCCGTGTGCACCTTCCCCAGCGTGGGTGGCATTCTGGGGCTTAGTCTCCTCTGAGGAAGCGCAGAATCCTCTCCACGGTGTAGGAATGGGGACGCGGGACCCCAGGGCAAGGGTAGGGACAAGGAGGGCTGTCCCAGGACCCCCGAGAGCCCCAGGACCCAACAGACGGGGATGCCCTGGAGGAAGCCTGTACTAGCTATGGGCCCCCCACCTTCTGTCCATTCCCTCCCTTCTCCCAGCCCCTCGCTTAGCCCCATTCCGGGTCCCATATGCTCACGACATGGGCAGCGGAGTGGGGGAGAGGAAGTGAGTGGTGGTGGGGTCAGAGGACATGCAGATGTGGACCCTGCTCTGTCCTTGGGAGGGCTGGCATCCTTGACCTCATCTATGAAGCAGGGCTCATGGGGCCAGCATGGAGGATGACGACAGACAGGGTGTGGTGGCAGCCTGGGCCGCGGAGGGGGAGAGCGGATGGGATGGGATGGGCCTCACCTGAGTCTCCCTCCTTCTCTCTGCAGCCACGTGGACACCAAGGAGCTGTGTGGTAGGTGCCCAGCTCTGCAGGGACCGGGCCTGGGGTGGCGGGATGGGACTCGGGGGAGCGATGGGGGCACAGGTGGGATTCCTGGGAGGGCCTGAGGGGTGGCGTGGGGTCCTCCTCCTCTCACCCTGACCTTTGCTTTCCCTTCCCTCAGATTACTTTGTGGACCACATGGGGGATTATGAGGACGTCTTGGCCTCCCTGGAGACCTTGAATCACTCTGTCCTGAAGGCCATGGGCTACACCAAGAAGGTCAGGGGGCGTGGGTGGCCCCTGGGGCTCTGGGGTCTGAGACTTTTCCCTGGGCATCCTCACCCAAGGGGGCCTGGATTGGGGATGCCAAGTGCTGGGTGGGTCGGGCTCTGGGGTGGGCTTTACTTGGCACTCCCAGAGGGAGCTGATGGAAGCTGGGAGGTGGATGGAGGGGCTCGGCGAATGGCCTGGTCCTGCGGTATCTGGTTTGGAGCACGAGGCCGTTTCCTGGAGTTGGGTGTGGTCCGGCCACGCGGTCCTAGAAAGCGAGCAGGGGCCTCCCGGAGCCCTCCGGCGCCCTCGGACAGGTGAGGTCCCCAACAGTCTCGGGCCCTCCTGTAGCAGGGTTGCGGGACGGCAGGGGCCGGAAAGACGCGGGGTCCTGCGGCTGCCCTTGGCCGAGGGCTTGCCCAGTGTCCGGCGTGAGAACCCTATCCGGGTGGCAGGACTGTTGGGAGTGTTGGGAGCAGGCCCACTGCTGGGGTCCCTGCGTGTCCCGGAGAGAGGTCTGGGGGGCGGCTCCAGCGGCCCTGCCCACAGCCCTGTCCCTGCCTCGTGTGCCCTGGAGGAGGACGAAGGCAGGGAGCCGGGGCCAGGTTGGGGGCTGGGCGTCGCCTTCTGGGCGCCGCTCAGGGCCAGAAGCAGCCCATCCCCCAGCCTCGGGGCCTGCACCCCGCTGGGCAGGCACCCCGAGAAGAGGCACACTGGGCAGCCCCGTAGTATAGCCACTGTTACTCTCACCGCCCCGTTTCGTGGCCATGCACACAGGCTCGGAGGAGGGACCCTGCAGAGTTGTAGCCTGATGGCCGTAGCTGCGGGCGGCGAAGTGAGAGAAGCTGGGGCTGGGCCTGGTGGGAGGCGTGGAGCTCGCCGGAGAGGGGGGCGGTGGGGGTAACCAGAGGGCCAGTGAGCCGCCGGGGGGGGGGGCAGCACACCGAGCAGGCGTGCAGGGAGGGAGCGGGGAGCGGGTTGCGCTGAGGGACACGTAGACCTGGTGGAAGGACCCCGAGCCAGTCCCTTCCCCGCCATGAGCCTCAGTTTCTCCGTCTGTGGAATACAGTGTTCACCTTCGAGTCCTCAGGGGGATTGAAGGAAGTAAGGTCTCCCGGCTGCTTAGCATGGGGCCCGGCACAGAGCAGAGGTGGCTTTTTATCATTAGGCTCCTGTCGTCTGTCCGGACAGAAGTAGGATGAATTCTGTACGCTTTTTCAAATGGTACTCAGTTACTGCCCCGCATCTATCAGGGAATCGCTCTCTTCCTCCAGGTCTCAGAAAAGCTGGGCCTGATCCTGAGCCTCCACGCGCCCACGTTTCCATTCCTCTCCTCCTGCCCTGCTATCACGGGTCTTGGTGTCTTAGAGCTTATGTATTTATTTATTTATAAAGATTTTATTCATTTATTTGACAGACACAGGGAGAGAGGGAACACAAGCAGGGGGAGAGGGAGAAGCAGGCTTCCCGCGGAGCAGGGAGCCGGATGTGGGGCTCAATCCCGGGACCTTGGGATCATGACCTGAGCCGAAGGCAGACGCCCAACGACTGAGCCACCCAGGCGCCCCTAGAGCCTATTTTAAATATCGTGTAAGACCGTTTGCCTGTCATTGTTCATCTGTCCGGACTTCGGACGTTCTGAATGTAGCAGGCGGGCAGCGGGTTTGCAGGGGAGCATGGAAAGAGCCCAGACTCTGGAGTCCCTGCCCAGACCGGGGTAGCAGCCCAGCTCCGCGCCTGATGGCCCCAGGGGGGACGTGCCCCACGTGCCCCCATGGGACCCCTCGAGGTGGAGCCACCTCCCAGCTGTGCCATCTCGAGGTGTCACCCACATGCACGGTTACTTCTTGGTCTTTGGTCATAACTCTTCGTCGGGGAGACCTTGTTCTCCACCAAGGAGCGGATTCTAACGTCTCCCAGTAGAACTCAGGCCGGGTTGGAGATGCTGCTCTGGGAAGGCGTGCGCTGTGACGCTCGGTGCGGCCTTCGGGGCATTTCTAGTGGTGACTGTAACTCTTTTTGCGGCGGCGGCGGACATTCCTTTTTCTGGCTTGTTTTCTAACCGAGTTGTGTTGGTAGAAATGCAGCTCGTTGGTTAATCCAGATGCTTCACTCGCACCGTCTGTCCGTGTTGAGTCGTGAGCTAGTGCGCTTTGCTTCCTCGTGTCTCCCGCGCGGTCCTCTTAGTTCTGGGCCGCGTCCTGCCGCCGATTCTGCAGCCCCCCGCTGCTGCGTCAGCCATCCTTGTTTGGCTCGGGATTCTCAAGGGCGTCTCTCCGGTACTTCTCCGCTAATGACAATATTAATACCAGCTCTTATTTTAGAATCCTCTTCAGCCTGTAAAAAAATATATATATGTATTTTTTGCCTTCCCTTCGTTAAATTCCGTCTTAGGAGGTGGTAGTGGGTTTTTTAAATTGCCTTTCTGATGACGTGATTCTTCTTCAGCGATTGGTGGGGTGGATTCTAAGAGTCTCTTCTATTGAACAGTCCTTTACTTCCTGATGGGCGCCCTATCCCTCCGTCACAGGGCTGCGTTCCCTGGGTCTCTCTCGGACTTGATCGGGAATGAATTTAGGTGGGCTTGAAGATTCTGCTGTGTGTGAATCAGCTTCTCCGCCACAGAATCCTTTTTCTATTCAAAAATAGAAAGAATTTATCCAGGAGGCTGGGGTCAAGGTCCTCCGCAGGGGAGGGGCTGTCTTTTCATAGGTTTTTGAGGTCAATCCTGGGTTCAGTTAAGTGCTGGACTTTTTATGTCCATTTTAGTGCAGTTTTAAACAAAACGGTCACAGACACGTTCAGCTTTGTGATCTGTCATGCAGAGTATGTTGTTATTTTTTTTTAAATCTAAAAGCTTCTTTGACCCAAAACACGCACTTCATGCAGATTAAATTGAACAAAACATCTGCTTCTATAGCTCTAGTCTTGTTTTAATTTTTGTCCTGTTGTGCTACATTTTAGAAAATTTCTGTTTGACACTTTTGCCTGTTTTTTTTTTTTTTTTAAAGATTTTATTTATTTTAGAGAGCGTGCAAGCAAGCAGGGGGGAGGAGGGGCAGAGGGAGAAGGAGAGAGAAGCCCAGCGGACACCCCACTGAGCGCGGAGCCTGACTTGGGGCTCCATCCCCGATCCCACGACCCCGAGATCCCAACCTGAGCCCAAATCAAGAATCAGGTGCTTAACCAACAGAGCCAGCCAGGCGCCCCAGTTTACCTGTTTTAGTTTCTCATAACCAGCCCCTCGACAAGTGTCTTTACATTTCCTGATATGTTTCCTACTGTAGCTACAGTTTCGGGCCTTCTCTCCTTCCTACCTGCCCAGGCTGGTGGTTGCTGCTCTTTTCCACATATGAAGTGTGCATTGCTTACATTCTTTTGATAATCAGGCTTGACCTTGGATGTTTTCACTGCACCTGTGATTCTCGGAGGGCGGCACCTCCTCCCTCAATCTCCCTGACCTCTGCTGCATCCCTGCTCATTCCGGGCTTCACTGTGCTGGGGATGGAAGCGAGCAGCCCCCTGGGTTTCCCCGCTTCTCTCACACGGTGTGATTTCCTCATGATACAGTGCTTGAGTTGTTTTGATAATGACCTCGTGGATGCTCGAGAGGCAGATGTGGGTCATACTTTCCAGAATAGGAAATTTGATAATGGCTGTCCCTTCTGTGTTAGGACGTGTGTATTACTAAAGAGGGGAAACCATGTGTCTCGTACAGATGTAAAAATGCATGCGTTCTCTCATTTTTGTCAACCCCAACATTGTTATTTTTATTACAGATATTTAAAAAGATTTTATTTATTTATTTGACAGAGAGATAGCGAGAGCAGGAACACAAGCAGGGGGAGTGGGAGAGGGAGAAGCAGGCTCCCCGCTGAGCAGGGAGCCCAATGCGGGGCTCGATCCCAGGACCCTGGGCACATGACCTGAGCTGAAGGCAGATGCTTAACCGACTGAGCCACCCAGGCATCCCCCTCACCAGTCACTCCTTCTTAAGTTTTGGTTTCAAAATTGAGAAAATCACTTAAGGCCTTAAAGCTTTTTTTTTTTTTTTTTTTTTGTCTCCATAGATAGGAATTTTCTTCAGTAATTTTAATCCCAGAAATAGAGTTCACGTCACTCATTTATAAATACTTGGCTTGTGTATACAGTTTTTCATGCAAAATCTTTATATCATTTACCATGTTGTCTCTATTTAAAAAGGTTTTCATGATTTAATTTTGACCTTACTTCCATGACTCAATAATCAAAGTTAATTACTTTTGTTATTCATTTTCACTTTCTACTTCCTGTATAAGGAATATGAATATTTAAAGGACTCATGAATTAATGTGAGGACAGGTAAGATGCCAGAGCTAGCTCAGAGGAAAATTCAAAGAATCCACACCATGTACAGAAGCAACCAGGAATTCTGGGATGACTTTGTGAATAAATGCAGAATTGACCCGTCCCCAGTGACAACCCTTGTCCAGACAACATTCATGTGTGCTTTTGTAGATGAGAATTATTTGCAATATCATCCCTATTCTACATTCTACAGAGTTTTAAGAGTAGCTCCAAAACAAGGGAAGACTTAGCCCAGAGGGTGTACTAGGCAGGAGACCCGGTAATAATCTTGTCCGTTTTGAAGACTTTCACACTTTCCTGGCAATGCTCTTTCCATTCGTGTTTATTATTGTCCAATTTATCTGTCCTCTGGGACAGTGACGAGCTAATTTGTCACACTAAATGACTTAATCTCTGTATTTTTAATGTGTTCCCTAACTGTATTTTTGGCCATGTTGTTTGATGCCTGTAGACTTTGGTTATGTTTTTATTATATAAATGTTACATGTGCAACTTGCAAAATTCAGGAAATAGAGAAAAGTATGAAGAAGAATTTCAAATTTCTACTCCCAACGTTCCTCACCACTGTTGTTAGTTTATTACCTTATTACCTCTGAGCCTTTTTGTCCCCATGTGTGTTTCTTTAATATACTTAATACCGTTCTGTGCACACAAAAACTTATGTTTTACTTTTTTCCCCACCTAATATCTTTAACACTTTCCCCACGTTATTAAAACTGTCCAGAACTGTTCTTCTTTTTGGGGCATATTAGATTATTACCAGGTTTTTGCTATTATGAGTAATACTGTAATCTTGGGACATAAACATTTATGCACATTTTGCATGATTTCTTAAGGATGGATGATCAAAAGTGGAATTACTGGGCACCTGGGTGGCTCATTTGGTTAAGCGACTGCCTTCAGCTCAGGTCATGATCCCAGGGTCCTGGGATCGAGTCCCGCATCGGGCTCCCTGCTCAGCG